GTACAGTACTTTCTGAACGTTTATCTTGGGGATCTTGCGTACTGAATGTTGTGCGGTACTATTCTTTATTCAGGTTCTTAAGCAATGAAGTGGAAACAAGAAGATTTCCTGATAAATTTTGAATACTACTTTTCTGAACTGTAGTTGTAATAAGCTCATGGTATCGAGTTATCTGGTTATTGAGATGATTTGTCATCACGGGAGTGCTGTTCTTCTCTCGTGTGCATGCATGAGTTGAGATGGTTATGCTCATTTGTTTTTGCAGGATAAATTTTCTGAGACTTTCATGGACGGGGATCTGTGGGATTGGCCGTATGATCAAGGTTCTACTGATCTCGTCACTTTCTTCTATTTATCTGAATAAACAAGTTTCAAGTTAATTTGATTGTAAAGAATTGTTCCAGGTTTCTCCTATTCCGATGCTGGTGAAAGCAGTTACAGTGTGGAATCTGGATGGCAGGCTGACTTTTACTTCGGTTATGGGAGAGGTAAACTTGATTGATTGATTTATTATTATTATTATTTTTAAAAAAGTATCTGCATGCAGTTATTCTGGCCACATTTATCTCTTTGTTTCACTTCAACATTTGGGTTTCTTATTTTTGTTATAATTTTATGGTCATAGATGTTATAGAAGAAAATGCTATGAATGAGAAGTATTGCGTTCAAGTACTAAAGATTTTGATACGGAAGGCAGCTTCTGAAATCGATGATCTTGAAGAAGATCTAGTTTTGCTTCAATGTGGTCTCGCATGGACAGAAAGTAGAAACCAATTTGAAGCATGCTGTAATGCTTTGAGAGAAAAAATCGACGTCCTTCATAATTCAATAAAGAGCTGGAGACGAAGTGATAAGATTAATACAGTCAATCAGTTACCATTACATACACAACCAGCAGAGAAATTGTTCGAGATACTGAAGCCTTTTCTTGGAGAGGGTCGTGAACAAGATGATGGGCAGGTTTTCTCTGTACCCTCTGAGATCTAAAAAGTCATTGTTCAAGAAGCATGAGAAAGAAGACTACAGAAAACTTCATGAAAGCATAAAACACATACACGTGATTCCACTTTTAATTGTCAATGATCCAATAGGTTACTGCATGTAGAGATTCTTGCAAGTTAGTTTTTTTTTTTCTTTTTTTTGCCATTTTGACAGAATCATTTTCATTAGTTCTTAGTATTCTTAACGGTTGGGAGGTTCATTTTATTGACTTCAAGTGGAGAACCTTAACTGTTACTGTTTAGACATATATTTCATTATCCTAGGCAACTTTCTCCCTCAGAAGAAATCCAAGGATTAAGGAACTTTTGTGTATAGTTGTCCTTGGGGGAAATACATGTGCCCTATTTGCAATGTCATTGCTGTTTTTCCCTTCGGGTTCATTCATTGAACATCCTTCTCCGTCATTTCTCAATCTCGTAAGTTTGACTATAAAGATATGGAATGCTGCATCATGATTCTATTTCAGAGGATTTAGGAAGAAAGTGTGAGAAGACCAATGTGATAATAGCTATGCCTAATCATGTCTATGAACGAAGATTCTAGCTCTTTAGATCTTAAAGCTAATAGATTCTCTTGCATAGAGTTTGGAAGAATTAAATAGTTTCTGTACAGTTTTGCTCTTTTACTCAAAAAGAAGGGAAAGGAGAAAAAATAAAAAAAGAGGGAAAAACCGTTTTGAAAGAGTTCATTTTGTTTGGCATTCCCTTGTCCAACATCAATACTGAGTAATCTAGTCAACAACTGCATTGTGCACACACTTTGTTTGGCATTCCCTTTATGATTTATGAAATATATCTGAAACGATATGGGAAGAAAAGAAATATTCTGGATTAAGACGTTGGTCAGGGGTATAAACACTGTAAAAGAATTATCAAGGTAGCATTATACTAGTACAATTTTCTGTCTGGATGTGCTGAGATGATCTTTGCATTCTATTTATTCATGTGCCTATATTTAGGAAAATTAGATCCACTATTACGGATGAATATTTATAGAAGTTTGTAAATTGGATGGAGCAAGCTGTATTGTTATATCTAGACAGTTCTACATTTCAAACTCTTAAATTATGTTTCTTTCTGACTATAGCTAGATGCTTTAGTTATATACTAGGGTAAACCAAACTAAAAGTAAAAGTACTTTTATTTTTCTTAGTTGGAAGAAGTTGTTCCTTGAATATGGTCGGCAACCTGGTTAAAAAGCCTCAGGGTAAAATTAGTAACTAGTTTATTGATTGACTGTTAATCACTGTCATCTGAATTGAATTTTTTTTCCTTCCTTTTTTTCCCTTTAAAATATATGTACTTTATGTAAAATAAGGATCAGCATGCAACTTTGAGCAGCCAAGGTACTGATACATCAATGCAGTTAGTTGGCCCATTCTGTGAAACCTCGAGCATTTCTGGCATAAAAGTCAAAAGTGAAGAAATGGAAGTCAAAAGGATTTTCCCGGCAGTGTATTCAACACCCAATGGTTCGGTCCAAAAGCACCCCAAAAATGATAGTATTTGCAAGAAAGAAATTAAGGTATTGCCTTCTTTGCTTTAGTTGCAGTTAGTGTCTTGGTGTGTCTAGTAGAGTCATAATGATGGAGTTGGATCGAAGCGAGCTGAATCATTAGTGTGATAACTAACACACATTGATAGTCTGCCTCGTATTCGAAAAATCTCTCTATGTTATGATGCTCACATTTTATATTTTTCTTGCAGGCTGAAATTTCCGTTGAAGGAGTTTCCTCAAATGTGATTGTGACTGAAGAAAATCTGAAGCCTGTTTCAAAAGTAAAAATTGAGGAAGTGGAGGACCTCCGTATAAATAACTCGTGCAAGAGCAGAAAATTGAAGTCAGCTTCGAATGTTGGTGGTGAATGCCGCCTTCTGAATGCAAGAAAGGTTTGAAATCTTGGCTTTCTTTCAGTTAAATAACTAGTATGAATTGAAACCTTGGTTATACTTCGGTTACGTTGTAACATAACTTTCATTCATATAGCAGCATGGAAAATCTATTTTTGAAAATGCCAATCCAGATGTCCCAAGACAATCAGATGGATTCAGTGGAAACAAAAGGTCGTTTGATTCCGTTTCAAGTTCTCCAGCATCATACCCAAAGAGTGGAAACTGCAATACAGAGGACAAGCTAATTGATTTCTTGTTAAGAAAGAAGAAGAACAAGAATGACGGGGGGTCAATTCTCCCTGAATCCAATGGAAGTGCCCCTTCATGTTCATCTTCAAACACGAAAGAAAAGGTGGATTGCGATCTACGCTTTTTGGATACTAAGAAAACGGGTACATTTGACTCATCAAATCTTCCTACATTGTTGCTTTCAAAGCTGCAAAATCAGCAGGGAAACGATTTGGTCAGAACCCAGACCAAGGAGACAAACAAGTTATTGCTAGACGATTATCAAAATGTTGAGAATGTTTGTCATGAGAAGTCATATTCAAATATGGATCACAAGCCTAAATTATTTACCGAAAAGGGGCGGAGTAAATCACATACTCCGATTTCTAAAGCAAAAAAGCATCGAAAGCCAGGAGCAGTTGGAGACAATGCCTGCTTAGATCTGCCTCTTGAACTTTGTCAGCTCAGGGTCGAAAAGCAGGACTGTGCTCTTGACATTGAGAAAAACTTAGGTCCTTTGTCCCAAAATAAAGGGACTTCAAAAATGCTGGTTGGACAAGAGCTCATAGAAGTAACTTCTGTTAATGATATTTCTAGTTCAGATCAGATCAAACCCGATGACAGCGGAACTGGGGAAAACAAACAAATGAAGTCATGCGCCGCCACCACAGATGATCATATAGCTGAAATTTTGGCACTTTTACCTTCCTCAGATCTCAAACTGAAGAGTCTAGCAGAACTGAGGATTATTGCAAAGGAACACAACTTGACCAAATATCACAAGCTTCGCAAAAGGGTGCTGCTCGACCTGCTTGTTCAAAAGCTGTTGGAATGACTTACCAAGGTTGGTATATTTATTTTCCTCTTTAATCAGTCTTAGTTTATTGGAAATATTTTGTCCTAGCTAGGAAAAATCATGAAACAAAGAATACACGGGGTCTTTTGCAGGGGATCAAAGTGAAGTGATAGTACATTGCATTCAAACTAAAATGGGTAGGTTAAAAAATGGAGATATTTAGGATATCAGATAGGAATTTCTATATCGTGTATAGATGTTTTGGATTATGGTGGTATTTTTAAATTTCAGCTTTGGTTAATTGGTTGTAGTTTTTAGGTGTCTGTTGCCATATTTATGTACAGTAACCCTTCAACTTTTGTGGATTTGAGTAAGTCGAACTGCTCGGAGTTCCAAAGAAGCTTTTTTCTTTTTTTCTTTTTTTCTTAACCTCTTGTTTGAAGATATGTCTTAATCAGTCGAATTAAATTATGCTTAAGTTGAGGTTGTTTTGTATTAAATTCCTACTTTGTTCTTGGGTGTAAAATTGGTTGTAGTTTTTTTTTTTTATTATTAACGTTGTTTTGGATTTATAGACCAAAATAGAACTAATTTCTCGCAAGTTTATTAGATTTAAATTTGATTTAAACTTTATTATTGTTATTAGATTTTGGATCTTGAGGAGTCCTTGGAATTTTTTCTATCTTCTGGTTTCGATTTTTAATTCTTTTAAAAGAAATTAATGTATTTCATAAAATTTTCTGGGGTTTCGTTTCTTTTAAATGGGATTTATTCTTTTTGGTTTTTTAAAATGTCAACACTGTTGCGTTTTATCTTTCCCTTGGCTTAAATTATATGTGAAATTGTATTAATTGTCTGTGAAGATGATTGGTTCATTCTTTGGTAGTTACACTATTTAACGATTTTGAAATTTTTAGAATTAAACTTATAATTAACTTTTGTTCGATCAAAGCATTAATTATATTCTTTAAATTTAACAAAAAGAAAATATATATATAAAAATTGATTCTAGAATGTAAGAGAAAAGAAAATTGTTTATAATCTCTAATAAATAGAAAGAAGAAAAAAAAAAGATCAAATCAGAGGTTACCCCCAATTTCATCTCCCAATTTGTGGTCTAAAAAAAATTTCATTCAAATTCTTGAACTAACTATCTCAACAATGGCCTTCCAAAACGTTTGTAAATTGTAAGGGAAATTAGAAAAAAGTCAAATGAATTTTTGCTCCAACTTTTTAATGTGTTCCCCTTGCTGCCCTCACAAGATGGAGTATGCGATACTGGAGCTTTGCATTTTCTGCAGCAACCATCTCAGCCTGCAAAATAATCCCAATTAAGAACTTCCTTTTTTCTTTCTTTTCTTTTTGACCTCTTCATCTAACCATGGACAAACAACAAACAAATACTTCTTGCCTTTTTCTGTTCTGCGATTAGCGCTTCATTTGCGCTGTCTAGCTTCGACTGGAGTTCGCTTATCGTTTTAAGATGTTCCTCGTCGTGGGCATCTAGATGGACGAGTTGTTGATAATCAGAAACACATTCATACATGTTTGTGTCATTGGTGATTTGGTGTGGTTCCAATAAAATAAAAATTACCCATGAGTTAATTCTTTCATTTGCTCTATGAAAGTATGGTTTCTCTAAAAGGGAAACAGCCATGAGTCGTACCTTTCTTACTCAAAAGCGCAGCTTCTAGTCTCGACAAACGATCCTTTAAATAAAAGCGCATTGTCGTAAGTACGAATACATAATAACAGTAGACCAAAATCAACTAAACTTTCAGAAAAAATCTTTAAAACTTGATACCAAATCAAGGCACAAGATTAAAAATAATTTCACCTCACTCTCTACATATCATGTTCTGTCTGATAGGAATGTTATAAGAGTATTAAAGGTATATTAGCAACTAGTTAGAGAAGTAGTTAATGTATTTTGTTATAAACAGATAGAGTAGGAAAGAAGGAAGTTAGTTGGATTAAGGCTCGAGTTAGTATGCTCAAGTGAGGGGAGGTTCCGAGTACCTCAAATACTGTAGTTCGTTTTCTTGTTTACATTGCAATATGTTTCGAGTTCGATCAGTATCCCTCGTAAGGCTTCTCCGCCTCTTATATGCCTAATGACTACAAGTGACAACTAATCTACTACTAAAGACAACAACTTAACCACTTGGTTTTCTTAGTCAGTCTCAGACAACAAATTTTGCAGCCTTTATCTATTTGAAAAGGTCAGTTTTTGGTCCGAGTCTTCAACATATATCTTGTAGACCTAAACTGGGGCATACAAATGCCTAGCTCTGCATTTAGCCTCCAAATTTTTGTGCATTGTTACTCTTGCACATTTTAAAAATAGAATTACATAGAAATAGAAAAAGAGGGAAAATGTGAGATTCCACATTGGTTCAAGAGGGGAAGGGTGTGGAACCTAACAGACATTTCAAAACCTTGAAGGGAAGGCCTAAAAAGGACAACATCTGCTAGTGGTAGACTTGGGCTGTTACAAATGGTATTAGAACCAAATACCGGGTGGTATGCCAACAAGAACATTGGGCCCCAAGGGGGTGGATTATGAGATTCCACATTGGTTGAAAATGGGAACGAAACATTCCTTATTAGGGTGTGGAAACCTCTCCCTAGCATACGCATTTTTAAAACCTTGAAAGGAAAGCCTAAAAAGGACAATATCGGCTGGCAGTGGACTTGTGCATAGTATGATTGTGAACACCTTGACTAATTTCATGGAACAATCCATCGTCCTACAACATTTTGTGTTAAAAAAATTTGTAAGATTTTAATATCTTAAGATATGGATAGGGCTACTACGGGGTTTGAATCAATTCCCTCCAAGGTCCACTTTTTTTTTTTTTTACTTGTTCCAACCCGACAAGCAAGTACTAGGCTATCTCATGATGATCGGGTATCATAGTACTCTTAACACTTTGATATGGCTAAATATGATTTTTTGTGACAACAATGAATGTTTGAACTATCTTATACACATCTCAGCCTATCACACTAAAAATCTGCTCGCCTTACAAATGCATAGCTCTGCATTAAATCTTATAACACACAAGCATATATATTATGAGATCCTACATCGGTCGGGGAAGAGAACGAAGCATTCTTTATAAGGATATGGAAACCTCTCCTTAGCAAACGCATTTTAAAATCTTGAGGGAAAAGACCAAAAAAGACAATATCTACTAGCAATGTGCTTGAGCCGTTACAAATAGTATCAGAGCTAGACACCGGATGATGTGGCAGCAAGGACGTTGAACCTCAAAGGGAAGTGGATTGGGGGGTTCCAATTGATTGGAGAAGGAAATGAGTGCCAACGAGAACGCTAGCCCTGAAGGTGGGGTGAATTGTGAGACTCCACATCAATTGAGGAGGAGGACGACGAAGTATTCTTTATAAGCGTGTGGAAACCTCTTCCTATCAGACACGTTCTAAAACCTCGAGGGGAAGCTCGAAAGGAAAAGCCTAAAAAAAAAAATTCAGGCTAGCGGTGGGCTTATTATTATATATACATACATACATATACACCGTGGTTTGAAAGTATGGTCTAAGAGAGGCATTATAAGTGTACAGCTTGACACTTTTTCCAGCGAGTGGTATGATACGACTTAAGAGTCAGTATTAGTTCCATACTGCCCTAGAGCTGGAAATTATCCTTAATCGGAGTACCTCTTTGACTGCCAAAAACTTCAATTAAACTCCCTTTCTAAAATCTAGGAGAATAAATCTAAACTTCATCATTCATTTTCCCAGCCATTTCAAATATTTCAACAGTAATCCAAAGTAATTGCAATGAAATACACCTAAAACATACCCGTCAATTTCACCCAAAAAAGAAATTCCATGCGACAAAGATAAGAGGCGGCGCGTCCTAAGAAGGCGTCCGATTTAGAAGGGAAAATGGGAGAAAAGTGAAGGGTTTAGCAATCAAACCTCGGCTTCGGAGGCTCTTTGATAGAAGGGCTTCAAGGTCTGCTCGAGATCGTGGCTCCCTCCGCTTAATGGTTCCGCCATTGTTGCAAAAGCTTCAACTCAACCTCAAAATGAAAAGATGCTATGAGAGCGCTTTGAGTAAATACATTTTTAATTTAATTTAATTTAACATTAAATTATAAAGGTGTTAAATTACCAAAATGCCCTTAAACTACGATGTTGGTTTCAATTATACCTAAAACTTTAAAATGTTTGTTTTAATTTTTGAAGTCATGGAACATGAATTATGTTAAATTATAAAGGCTCATTTTTGTTTTTTCTTTAAATTTTAAAATTTAAGAATTGAAAATACTTAATTATGTTTAAAAAAGAAAAAATGGATAGGAATAATATTTATACATGTGATTGTATTTAATTTGAGAATACTGAGTTATGTTAAAAATAATCATAATCATAATCATATTTCATTTAATTGTCCCTTACATTATATAGCATATGGTTTTCGATTTAGTTTATATGCTAAAAATTATTAAAAATATATATTATTGAAAATCTCTAATCAAATGTGAAAAATGACTTCATACAACCTATAAAGTTTGAACTCTAAATTGGAGCTTCTAGCTTAAATATGCTTAGGAAACAATATCGTAAAAATAAGCGATGCTCAAAATTTTGAGAACGAACAAATAATTACTTTAGTTGGTTCGAGAAATCAAAATAAGGGATCGAACCATTTATCCAAACTATGCCTTCATCAAAGAAACAGCTAGGAAGAATAAATTTCCTCGTTCATCCAGATTATATCAGAACAACAAACAACGCCTCCAGCCTCGGCCCTTAATTTAACAGTTCATAACTTGATCCTCCATTTCACTTACAAACTCACCATGAATTTGTTGATTGAAACAATCTATGAGGCTTATATGATCAATCTACTTGCATCAACTGATGATCATCTTCTTGAAAAATTCAGCTTGATCAGGAAAATATTCCATCAATTCATCCTTTGTAACCCACACAAAATCTTCACATTTCTCAATATTGAATTTATTGGTTGCGATCACTTGAGACTTAAAAAAGAACCTCTGGAAAAGAGGAGAGATTTCGTTTAAGAATACGAGTAAACGACCACATTATACTAAACGTAATACTCTACGCTCGAGCATAAATTCCCGAAACTTGTATGATATAAATTTTTAGTAGAAGACATACCTTCAGAGATGAAACTTGTGCAGTTCCTGTAGTAGGCGGTACAACCATGTGCGCCATAGGAGCATTTCCAACAAAATATGTATGAGAAAGACCTCCAAGGATGGACGCTAAGGCAGATTCTGCACACTGCAGAACTTGAAGGTTAGAAGGGTAAAATTGATGAGAAAGAAAACTGAAGAGTATTGATAGCCGACTCTCACTTTACGCAGTGTCTCCTCGGTCTCGTATACTTTTTCTGGAAAGTGCCAGACAGGTTTCTTATCAGGTGCCCCAATAGTGGTACCATAGAGAAGAAGGTAGAGCCTTCTGTCAAGTGCTCTCTGCAGTGACCTAAAAGGAAAGAGGAGAATTCAAGTAATCAGAATGCAGACCTCAATTTTGATATTAGAATCTGGCAAACTAATGACTTTGATCAGATAGCCTGAACTCTAGATCAACAGTGAGAAATACGGAGACATTGTATTTTAAAGACACCATCTAAGAACTCCATTTGAGAGCAAGAAAGATGCCAATAAGTCTGATAGATTAACCAAGTAATATAGTTTCAACATTTATGAGATATACAATGATATCTTGCAATTTTCCCAAGAGTCAAATGAATGGATTTTCACAGGGATAAAACAAGTTTTATTGGTCAACATGAATCAAGTAGACCGTGGTTTTAAAGAAGAAAGAGCACTCATCAAGTAAATGAGTGGAATACACCTAAAGTAGCAGCATGCTCTTGATATGCAAGACACCAGAGTCACACGGAGCACTATAGTGATATCCCCACATCAGTTGAGGAGGAGAACTAAACATTCTTTATAAGGGTGTGGAAACCTCTCTCTAGCAGATACGTTTTAAAAACCTTGAGGGAAAGCTCAAAGAGAACAATATCTACTAGCGGTGGGCTTGGGCCGTTACAAATGGTATAAGAGTCAGACATGGGGCGATGTGCCAGTGACAAGGCTGAGCCTTGAAGGGGGGTGGACACGAAGCGGTGTGTCAGTAAGGACGAGTGCCAATGAGAACGCTGGGCCCCAAAGGGGGTGGATTGTGGTATCCCACATCGGTTGGGGAGGAGAATGAAACATTGTTTATAAGGGCGTGGAAACCTCTCCCTAGCGGACGCGTTTTAAAAAACCTTGAGGAGAAGCTCAAAGAGAACAATATCTGTTAGCGGTGGGCTTAGGTTATCACCGCTATTGAAATAAAAAGGTAGTACAATTATCAAGACGGTTGCAACAAAGAATTACAGGAAAAGAAAAAACTTGATTAACCAAAAGAAAGAAAATTATATAGTCAGACAATTGAATAATATCGTCACAACAAGAGCATTATATAGTTACAAGAATAAAAGAATATCAGCACAACTTATGGTAACCAAATAATAGAAGCAAGAGGACACTGGCGATCTGGAAGAGTAAATAAAGAAACACAAGGCTATCCTCATAATAATGAAGACATAAAGCATGAACAAAAACAAGAGTTCATGGACTGCATTATTATTTTCCCGCAATGGTGATGATAGCATTGACAAGGAAACCTTCAATCTATCAATTCTAAATAAATAAATAAAAAGACTGCATACTTCCTATCATTTGTTTTGTCAGCTTCCGTAATCCGTGGAGCTGGAACATAATCAATTTGGTAGTCACCTTTTCCCCTGTTATCAGCAGAGGTCAAGTTATACAACCGCCAAAAGAAAAAAAAAAAAAAAAAAAAAAAAAAAAAAAAAAAAAAAAAAAA